TCCAATGGTGGTAATATTGCACAACATATACATAAAAATGGTGCTTATGTACCAAGATGTGAAAAGCGCGATAATTTCTTTAAATTTTTTTACGGATTCTGTTAAGTAAATGGATCAAATATGTAATATTATATAACTACAACTGTATTTGACTTTTCGGTTACTAAACAAACTTGATATACACAAGTAACCTGATTTTGATCTAGTTTTTGATGTTTAAAGGCACCGACATTAATTTTTTCGCGAGGTATAGACAAATCAAATATTTAACGCATAAAGATAAAAAGAATAACAGTTGTACTTTCCAGAGAGAGACAGGTTGTCTATTCTACTCCATACCTATGGCGTTCACTTGATGGAAGGTTAAATATCTCAAGAAGATGCGATGTCGGCCTATTTTTATCTCTGGATATACGGAAATTCACACACTGAAATCGAAAATCGATTATACTTTTCTTCTGTGGACGGTGCTTCATGATCAGGACGGAATTGCGGTATTCACCAGAATTATAAATTTATTAGACATATGTTGAAACTGGCGGGAATCGAACCTTCGAGCCGTTGGTTATTAGCTACCATTGAACCAAGGAGTCCTGCAAAATATGGAAGAGGCAAAATGTTCATATAAAAACAAGTTAACATTTGCCCAAAAGTCTTAGGAGATGGGAAACTCGCGGCTCAGTAAACATAAGGCACGAATAAAAGCAAAAATATGCCTCAACATAAAAGTTCAGTGCTTACGCTTTACGCAACCCTAAAAGGGAGTCGTAAAGAGAGTTTAATCAAAATAAAATGCAAATTTTTTCGACCACGAATGTTTGGTACGTGAGTTCGACATAATGTCGTGTTGTTTTTTTTGTAATGAAATGTAGATTTGATTATTCATATTACATACTAGTTGTTACCCATGTCGTCTGTGTCCTGTCGTTCTCGCAAGTTAGTCTTAAAAGATATAGAATACTGTCTATAGTTTAGGCGAGTAGTACACATTTAAATAGAACACTTTTAACGGTTTAAAATGCGATATATTAGTTAAACTTATTTGAAAATGATTTTTAACTTCGGCCCGACGTTTCATTTTCAAATAAGTTTAACTAATATATCGCTTTTTAAATCGTTAAAGTGTTTTATTTAAAAGATATACATAATATGATGTCGCTATTTTGTTAGATCGTTTAAAAGAAAATCATTTAAATATATTTTTTGGTTTCTCGAACCGTATTCGCTGAAGATGAATTTCCCGTTTTGTCACATTGTTTCTTTGCTTCTATTGGTCTTAGCGTTATATAGCGTGACAAGTCCAGAGTTCGAATCCCAGGGAAACATTAGAATGTTTGGATTTCCGTTATGAAAGACAAGACTAGACAAAGAACTTTACATACATAACGGCAACGGCCAATTGTTTTTATATATAAAATATTTAAGATGAAAATAGAACATAACAAAAGCTGGTTACGGTCCCCTTATTTCATAACGTTCAGAATGAGAAAATAAAAGAACATCTGCATACGACTAGGATTTAAATCGTACGCCGTAATCAAACGGCGGAGAAAAACAAACAATAAAAGGCACAGTATGGTTACAGACGCTGATTTATAAGTAGTTTTTACGACAAATGGGAATTATGTAAACGTTCGGAGCCCCTACTGTGAGGAAACTTGTCGAGTTCGTATAAAAATATACGTTTTATAGTCAAAATGCCTCATAATGTTGTATAGGAAAGTTGAAAATTTACTATATCGCAAACGGCTACACTTATTTTGATAAAATTAGGTTAGAATGGTACAAAAAAATTTTTGTTGTTTTACAAAAAAATAATGACGTCTGACAGGTTGGTATAATGGTAGCAATGCATGGCTAATAGACGTGGGTTCGATCCCCAGTGTATCCAACATGTTTCTATGTTTTTTTTTGTGAAACATGTAAATTTCTAATTTAAATAAAACACTTTAACTGTTTAAAACGCGATATATTAGTTAATCTTATTTGAAAATGATTTCTCTCCCCGTTACCACGGCTGCTGCAAAGCATCCGAAATGTCGGGCCGAAGTTAAAAATCATTTTCAAATAAGTTTAACTAATATATCGCGTTTTAAACCGTTAAAGTGTTTTATTTAAATGTGTACTACTCGCGTAAACTATAGACATGTTAATTTCGTCAAATCTAGATATTTAATGGGTGGTACGTATATTGAATTACATCCGGGTCACGAACCACCGTCCACAGATAAAAAGCCGTGGCGTTTAATCGCATTTCCATTTCAGTCTGTGGATTTCCGAATATCCAAAGCCAAGGTTGACAGCGCATCTTGGTTAGATGGCTATGGTATTTCATCTACCATTAAGTGTTGGCTTAAAGGTCTCGTTACCAGGCCATTAAATATTATTAAAAAAAAAAAATACTATTAAGTGAATCCGATGGTTGTCTGTCAACAATTAAAAAACACATCTTGAACATCAAAATGAGACATTAGGAGATTTAAATTTTCTGTATTGTGTCTGAATAAACACAAATCTAAACAAAGACTTATTTGAAGTGAATCTTTGCTCGATTACAGCCTTTTAATTTATCCGAATGTAATGAATGAAGCGATTCTAAAAAACATTTGCAACGTGCATGAAAACTTTCCGAGTGTAATCCAATTAGTGGATTTAACAGTGTCGTGGAAAAAAATTCGCCAGTTGGCGAATGTCACTTTGTAGTGGTTGAAAGCAGATCAGCTGCTTCTGGCTTGCGGACGTTAAATTTTGATTCAGATTTTTTTTTCCAATTACGAAACTAGAAAATGCTTGAAATTCGTAACATTTTTTTTGTGACAAAGAAGGATACGGGGTTGAATGGAAGGTGTTATCTCCAGCCTCATAACAACCACTAAGGTGTGTTGTCGATCTGTCTTGAGTTTGGAGATTGTAACGCGGAAACACTTCCAAGCTTTTCCGTTTGTGCATGGTGACACACAAAAAATATCTATGACAATTTATGCTTCTCCTGTAAGACTAACTAACAAGGACCGTTTTTATGGGAATCAAATTTCGTTAACATACTTTATATGACAGTCACGTCTGTCAGCTCGTACATTTACAAAGTACAAACAACTTTAAATATTGGGTAAATAATTATTACAATGTGTGCTTGTAAAAAGGGGGGAAAGCAATTTTCTGTTTTCCGTGATAAATATACATTTTGTTTCAGGAAAATGTATAAAGTTATTTAATAATATGTATATAAGACTGAGTGGGAGTCAAACCTAAGATCCGTTTCTTATCAGCCTACATTATTAACTTTCAAATACAATGAAGCCTATTTTGTCACAATCAATTTAATATACATAATTATTATAAATACATAAAACTTTTATTATACAGTAAGCTTGAAAGTTTTAAAACATAACAGCTTTTTCAGAAGCGTATAGCAAATGAGAAGTCATCTAAACCCCTGGATAAATAATGTGCTCTGTTTTTAATGTGTTTTCCTCCTCCAGCGGTTAATTTCCTCGGAGAATTATAACCAGCAGTGTGGTTACGTGGTGCAATAAATTTTTATCTCATTAAGTTGTACGAAATACAGTTAGCGCAAAATGTAAAAAGTGGTTGGTCGAAAGCAATGCTACTCAATGTAAAACGTAAACCGTTTTACATTTATATTATAACTTATTTTAGTTACGTCCCGACGTTTCGAATGCTTTGAAGCAGTCGATGTTGCAGAGAAACTGTTTACACAATTTAACTGAAACATTCTGCGTTTTAAACCGTTAAAACTTAAAAGTGTACTCGCGTAAATTACTGACAATATTTATACGGTTTCATTATCTTAATGGCTCATGTATTTTAATTTTCGTAAGCAACAATAGGAAAAAGGCGGATGTTTTTTGAATATGAGCTAACTTTCAAATCATGTGGAATATTCAAATCATTGCCTGGATTGATTGGCTGTGAAGAATACGTCTTATCGTGAACATCGTTATTAGTTATTATTTTTTTATTATATATGTATGTACACGGCACAAATAATTCTTAAATATTTCAAAAATCTAAGCACTTAGTTCTACCTGCATGATATTTCCTTTTATGTTAGATTTATGATGCTGGATTATCTTTTACGATAATTTTTTTTACCAAAAATATATATCCAAGTTCGTTACGAACAATAAAGATTTTTATTTTTTCAAGTTGCAAGCAATTAACCTAAAGAAATTTTAATCTGTGCATTTGCGTGAATTTAATTTTTAGGACTTTTATTAATAGCATGAAGTTGTGGTTTTTACTAAGTGAATTCAAGGCAGTTCATTAGCTTAATATATAATCCAGTGTCTCAAAGTGTATTAGTGTAATCACGATTTCATGTGTGTTAATTCAATTAATTGTGTGTTTGTTTACAAAAAATGCAAAGTAAGAAACAATACACTATCGATACTGAGAGGCACCTCATTGAGGGTTGTTACAGTCAGACTTGAAGTACACCATCAGGTCGCACCTTAGGCCATCATTAAAGAACGCATACACGTGACATCACCGCTTATCTATAGTTTTATCTAAAACCACTCACTGCTGACGCGTAACAATGCCACTTGAAACACCATTTAAATAATCTAGGCGTATCAAGTATCAAAACTATGCAGTATCATAATATTATCAGCTGTCACGTCTAGCGATATTAAAAAAGATAAATAAGGTCTGTATAATTATCGTGTTGTACATGGGCATATTGTTTTAATTCAACGAACATTCGAATTGATTGTATTCAATGCTTTCGAATGAATGACGAATCTTGTTAACTGGGTTTCGAAACAAAAGCATAATTAACCAGACATTTTAAGTTTGATAAGAATAAAGCTTTTGGGTGATCCATCGCACTTTATTATTGTAATTCTTGTTTGTATTAACATAACAATAATTCAGACTTTCTAAACAGGGTTTATGGCTACAAAGATGATCGAGTTAGTATTATTACTAGTTTGTTTTAACAAATCAATTTTTGGTTTCACGATCCTATAACTTACCTTGACAGGAGAAGACGACAGCCATAGTTGAAAGAGATCGGATGTAACTGAAGTACTTCTAGCCTCATGACGGGGTCTCGGCGATAAAGGTCCACCCGAAGTTATACTGTGAAGTCTATTCACTTCTTCTATTGAAGCACACTCTCTCAAATACTTCTCTAATAACTTTGGCTTATTCTCTAACAATTTCTTTAGTTCCTCCAAATCTTCATCACTACAATCATCGGGAGAATTCCCATCTTTTACTTCTTTGAACTCATCAGTGCACGGCATGATAAGCTCATTAGGAGCTAAAACATCATACACGACTTTATTGCCTAATTCTGGACTAGAAGCTTTAAAGAATGTATCACATTGTGTGGCACTATCAAGCTCATTCTCACAACCATTCTGTTCCGTGATCTCTACTATAGTTATCGGTGGGGCTTCCTTCAGCATGTTGCTGGTATTATTTGGTTTTATGTCATCAGGTAATTCGTAAACTAATTTCATAAGCGTATGCGTTCTTTGACTGGCTTCGTTTTTGTTTGGCTGTCTGTTTTCAATATTGTCATCTGTTGCGATTGGTTTCTTTACATCGGCATTCTCTACTACGTCTACTGGGTTTTCGGAAGTCATTGTAGATTCAATTGCGTTCAATAGATATGTGAATCACTTCGCTACTAACGGCTGACATTTCTACTTTTCTCTTTATTTTTCGAAACTTGCGTCTGAAACAAAGAAAATATTCGTTAATTATAGAATCTGTTTAGATTACCACACTACAGGTAAACACGTTGCGAATAATAAAAAAAGTCTTAATATTACGTAAAAGATAAAGTAGATAACTTTTAATCTTATTTCTTTTTTAAGTCTCCTTATAATTGAATTATATAATTTATACTGATGTATTTTAATATTTCCTTTCATTACGTTAGATTCTCTTCAGACCTAAGAAATATAGTAACTTTTCGTAAAAGTAGTATAAAAGACAGTAATAAGTATTAAACTTCCTCAATCCGAACACTCGATAGTAGTACGTGAAAAGGGTTGATCCTTTCATTTCGTTTGAAAAGATTCTCGTGGAAATCTGGTTATGCAATCCGAGAGCGGATCCAACCTTACTTGACGACATTCGATATATTATTAACTCGCCTACGTAAAAGTTTAGTTTTATACGTTGACACTGTGGTCTAAGTTGGGCTGTTTCAAAACTTTGCAATGTGTTTGTCTGTAATACAGGAATAAGGTCTATCTTTAGTTATGAAGCGAAAGTTAATACTGTCAACTGGTGGTGCTTATTTACCACGTATACTTATGTGAAAATTTAAAATGAAATAAGATTAATTATATTTGAAAACGAATGATTTTTACATGTGACTAAGATGGCACGTATACAAATTAAACATCGATTTTAGATTTAAATAATTTTATGACTCGGGCAAAATTTTAAGCGCCATTAACAGAGTTCCGTGCTGTTGCTCTACACAAATAAACTACCGTGTCCTACACATAACTATATAAATATATTTTTTCAATCTTAAATCGATTTTAATATAAAATTAATTATAGTTATTTTTGCTGCTGCGTTGACTTATTGGACCTAAAATTAAATCTAAAAATAGGCTGTATAATCTGCAATAACAAATGTATAAATTTTCTTAACATAAGTTTATCTTTAGCAGTTTTCAGATACTCCTACGTTGATTGAAAGCGACTTGATGACGTCATTTCTAACTTGGTAATGAATACATAATGAGAATCGTTCCCCGGGAGGGGACGATCACAAAATGCTCGGCCATTACGTACTAAATGCGACGCAATTTGCCATCAATTTGACGAAATTTTAGAGCAAAATACAGTTTAATAACGCAGGGATGATTATCGCTTATTGTTTGGAGGCTCTGAACGGTTTTAGATGAAGTTTTATCAGCTATAAAGATACAAAGTTACGCCTTATCATAAATTCATAATGCTAATTTGAGTTCGTTTGTGGGCTGTTACTTATATATTTTTTTATGCGAAATAACTGTATTTAAGTATTATCGTTTATCACATTGTTTTAAGGTTTTGTTCTTGTTTAAATTCTATAACTAATTACTATACTAAATAATTATACTATAATTTAAAGATTACTTTTATTTTAATTCAGTTCGATTAGAAGGGGGTAAGTAATAAATAAAACAAGTAAAATAAAATAAATAACAAACTATATTATTTTATGGTTACCACGTGATAGTAGTAATAGGTGGACAATATGTGAAGAATTTATGCCTTCACTGTTGAGTGTTGAGAGCTGTTGTGTTATTTTTACCTTCAGTGGTAAATGAGAAATAATACCGATCCGGGATTTCAGCACGAGTAGTTTTATAGATTTATGTTAGCATAGAATATCTCTCACATATCTTTTAAATAGACATAATATATCGGGTGACGGACAGAGACGCACTCTACTTTTATTTTAAGTATTAACTTAAATTTGCTTCACGACACATAAACTGACTAGATGGTCTTTGATGGACCCAAAAACAGGAAAACGTAATCTCAGGATGTATTCCATTCCATAGAAGATTTAGGAACCGGATCGTTAGGAGTATATGCATTGCTTTTTTTAACGACTAATTTAAAACGAGATATGAGAGAATGAAAAAGAAGGCAATCATCTTATTATACAATTATAAGATGATTGGAATTATCATAATTATAACCTACATTGCGCGAGAGGTGCATGTAGGTTGAAAAATTCGACTAACGTTGTGAATGCCAGTTTAAGTCCTGTCCGTGTCGTAAATTTTTTCATTAATCGATTTTAGTTTATATAATGCCATCATATGCAATACATGTGAAATGAATTAATTCATATATATTTCAATCCCAACAATCTAATAATGCAAATTGAAGTCAATTCCCGCGAGGACAAATATTGTTCGAAATATGTATTGGAGTATATGCATCTGAATACTAATATTATTACCCGAAGAAGGGAACTAAAGTCTCATCGATCGGGTATTGTCCACTGCGAGCGTTGGGCACGCTCCACCATGTCATCGAATATTAGCTTTTCTTCATTTCACTAATCATAGCACCAGTTTACTACAATATTAAATAAAGGGAAAATCTAATTGGCTCTTTTAAAATGAGATATATGTACTTTCATATGAATCTGATGAATCGAATGTGTCTTTCTTCTAGAGAAATGTTTGCTTTGCTTTAAAACTTAATATAATTTTTAAAGCATTGAATGGTACATATAAACAGTGCATATAAAATTTAGAGTTTGATCACAGTTTCTATATATTTTATTTTTAGAAAACATCTGACAATCTACATTTAAGTAAGGCCTAGAGTCTAGAGTCTAGACTAAAGCTCGGACGCCTAAGGTCTAGGTTTAATGGGTGGTATAACGAAATTCTGTCCGGATCAGAAACCACCATTACCATATGGAAAAGCCGTGAAGTTGAATCGCGTTTCGGTTTCCCAATATCCAAAAAAGATCGACAGCACATCTTTAGATTGTTATTTGTCGATGCTTCGAGTGAACCGTAGGCTTGTCTGTCCTCCTCTGTTATATAAAAAGGTTCCAGTTGTCTTTAGCGCGGCATAGGATTAAAAGGGAGGATAGTCCCGATAAAATATTGTTGAAATATATTCGTCCTATCTTACATACATACAATAATTTAACATTCTCTTACATGGAAAATAACTTGTGCCAAAGCGTTTAGTATTCTAAGGACGTTTGAACTCACAATTCATGTATCCCAATTTTCTGATTGAGCGTGCTATTGCTTATCACAGTAAGTACTAGTTTGGAGATATGCCAAGATGTGGTGTAGGGACATTTACCTAACTCGGTATGATTTTCAAATGACGTCATATTTTTTCTAAGTTATGACTCAAACTGCTCAAACATAACAATAATAAAGGTACACTTTCAAAATATATCATTGTTAATTAAAATGAAAAATTTTCGTAAACTATAGATATTTATTAATAAAGAAAGATATTACTACTGTTTTGTACGCATTTTAAATTCCTACTAGAAAAATCTGAATATTTACAGTCTTAACCTACTGTTGCTTTTTGTTTGTTATACCTTACACCTACCAACTTATTAAGCCTTTTTTATATTTCTTTTCTCCTATAGGTTGCTTGGAAGAGATCGCTGCTAAACTTTAAGGCCGCCTTTTATTTATAAGTTAGTACGTAAGTTTTTAACTCTTGTTGTTTTTGTTTATTATGAATAGTAAAGGTGTATATAAATAACGTAGTTTTTTCTACGGTTTTAAGGAAAGATAACACAACAATAGGGACAGTAGCAACACTATACCGACGCCTTGTATCAGTACGCTTCTATCTATCATTGGTCATCCGAACTCCGAAGCAATAATCCAATTGTGTCAATTACGTTACGCAACAAACAAAACTTGACAATGTTAACCATGGTTCCAATCTATCGGAAGTGGTGACACTGATAGTACAAGTACTGTGCTCGGTTTACTAGCAATAGTACCCTATGACTTTGATTGTTACGAAAACGAATGTGGTCATAATTCTAGCAAATTCTTAAAATTACATCTAAGGAAACACACGTTATTTATTAAAGCAAAGAAGTAGATCTATATCATTAACAACTAATCATCGATAAATACTGTCTGTAGTTTATGCGAATAGAACACATTTAAATAAAACGCTTAACGGTTTGAAACGCTAATTATATTAGATATTTTAGAATTTTTGAGCCGTTGAAATGCTTTTAAGTAATTTAAAAGTAATAACCGATAATTAATAATTTAGCGTCGATATTGTTGTAGAAAACAGCCCGGTTTTATTTTACATTATACCAAGTTTTAAGATTTTTTTGGGTAATGAGGCTGGTGTAAAAGTAGTGGTATACTGCATACATATTATTAAAAATCCTAACAAATAAGCTTGGCTTTGCAAAGCCAAGGTCGATAAACAGCCCCGCTCTCGCCAGGGGTGGATTTCAGTTTGAATAAATAACGGAAAATGAAAAGTAATAAAAATATATATTTTTTAATTTAGCTATAAGCTGCGTTGGAAATTTAAAAAGTATATATTTATTGTTTATTTTTGCACATCGTTATTGGAACTAAAATCGATTTAAGATTTTAGTTACTTTAAATTTACAACAAAATAGAATTAATTGATCAGTCATTTTAGATCTGCTATCATAGAAAGCTGTAGATACACCCCTTTACCGTCTGCTGTCTTAGGCCTCAAGGCCAGACAAACTTTACCAACCAAACGTCACAACGAGAATCTTAATTGATTTTTTAGATATACCGTGAAATATCAACAATGTAAATAGGTAAGTAGCGTGGATCAATTTGAATTAGAAAAAAAAACTTTAGAGTACGTGTCTGTCTATCACCAATTACCCGATATTGTCTAGTTTATTTCTGGCTAGGGCCTGGCATTGACGTAATACGCGTTATTGGCCAACGTCTTTAAGCGTTTTCACGCCATTTATGGGGGGCGGTTTACGTAAAAACTGAACGTAAAGATTGTACTGAGACCAGGAAATGTAGTCTACTTTACTTCACTACAGTCATAAAGTTTAATATTTCGTTCAGAAAATAGACAGTATTAGTAGAATTATTCAAAGGCTTGTTAAGTTA